GTGGAGGGGAAGTTGCGGTCCTTGAAAAACGAGGACATCTGGGATGTTCGGGAGTGGAATGCCTCATCTTGGGAGCAGATGCGGCGGAGACGAAGGAATTGGGAATAGGGGATGGCATTTTTGCAGGAAGGTGGGTGAGAGGAGGTGTATTCTAGGTAGCTGTTGGAGTTGGTGGGCTTGAAATGGATATCGGTTTCCAGGTGGTTGCCAGAGATAGAAACAGAGAGGTCCAGGAAGGAGAGAGAGGTATCAGAGATGGTCCAGGTGAACTTAAGGCTGGGGTGGAAGGTGTTCATGAAGTCGATCAACTGTTCGAGCTCCTCGTGGGAGCACGAGGCGGCACTGATACAGTCATCAATGTAACGGAGGAAGAGGTGGGGTTTAGGGCCAGTGTAGCTATGGAAGAGGAATTGTTCCACGTATCCTACAAAAGATGTAGGCATAGCTTGGGCCCATGTGGGTACCCATGGCCACCCCCTTTGTCTGTAGGAAGTGGGAGGAATTGAAGGAGAAGTTGTTAAGGGGGAGGGCGAGTTCAGCTAAGCGGATGAGGGTGTCAGTGGAGGGGGACTGGTCGGGCCTGCGGGACAGGAAGAAGTGAAGGCTTCTTTAGGCCATCTGCATGGGGAATGCAAGTGTACAGGGACTGGACAACTTCTCTTAACAACTTCTCCTTCAATTCCTCCCACTTCCTACAGACAAAGGGGGTGGCCATGGGTACCCGCATGGGCCCAAGCTATGCCTGCCTCTTTGTAGGTTACGTGGAACAATCCCTCTTCCGTACCTACACTGGCCCTAAACCCCACCTTTTCCTCCGTTACATCGATGACTGTATCGGCACCGCCTCGTGCTCCCACGAGGAGCTCGAACAGTTCATCCACTTCACTAACACCTTCCAACCCAACCTTAAGTTCACCTGGACCATCTCTAATACCTCTCTCCCCTTCCGGGACCTCTCTGTTTCCATCTCTGGCATTCACCTGGAAACCGATATCCATTTCAAGCCTACCGACTCCCACAGCTACATAGAATACACCTCCTCCCACCCACCTTGCTGCAAAAAGGCCATCCCTTGTTCTCAATTCCTTCGCTTCCACCGCATCTGCTCCCGAGATGAGGCATTCAACTCCCAGACATCCCAGATGTCCTCGTTTTTCAAAGACCACATCTTCCCCTCCACAGTGGTTGAAAACGCCCTCGACCGTGTCTCTCGCATTTCCCGCAATTCATCCTTCACACCCCTTCCCCGCAATAACAACCAAAACAGAATCCCCATCGTCCTCACATACCACCCCACCAACCTCCGGATCCAATGCATCATTCTCCGACACTTCCGCCAACTGCAATCTGACACCACCACCAAAGACATTTTTCCCTCCCCACCCTTATCTGCTTTCCGGAGGGACCGCTCTCTCCGTGACTCCCTTGTCCGCTCCACACTCCCCTCCAGCTCCACCACACCCGGCACTTTTCCCTGCAACCGCAGAAAGTACTACACCTCCCCCCTCACCCCCATCCCAGCCACCAAGAGGACTTTCCACATCAAGCAGATGTTCACCTGCACATCTGCTAATGTGGTATACTGCATCCGCTGTTCCTGTTGTGGCCTCCTCTACATCGGGGAAACCAAGCGGAGGCTTGGAGACCGCTTTGTGGAACACCTACGCTCGGTTTGCACTAAACAACTGCACCTCCCAGTCGCGAACCATTTCAACTCCCCCTCCCATTCCTCAGACGACGTGTCCATCCTGGGCCTCCTGCAGTGCCACAACAATGCCACCCGAAGGTTGCAGGAACAGCACCTCATATTTCGCTTGGGAACCCTGCAGCCCAATGGAATAAATGTGGACTTCTCAAGCTTCAAAATCTCCCCTCCCCCTACCGCATCCCAAAACCAGCCCAGCTCGTCCCTGCCTCCCTAACCTGTCCATCCACTCCTTCCACCTCAAGCCTCACCCCCACCTCCTACCTACTAGCCTCATCCTGCCCCCTTGACCTGTCCGTCCTCCCTTGACTGACCAATCTCCTCCCTACCTCCCCACCTGCACTCACCTTTACTGACTCCATCCCCACCTCTTTGACCTGTCTGTCTCGTCTCCACCTATCTGCTCCTTTATCCATTTTCCATCCGCCTCCCCCTCTCTCTCTATTTATTTCAGAATCCCCTTCCCCCACCACCCCCCAACCCCCATTTCTGAAGAAGGGTCTAGGCCCGAAACATCAGCCTTCCTGCTCCTCTGATGCTGCTTGGCCTGTTGTGTTCATCCATCTCTACACCTTGTTATCTCAGATTCTCCAGCATCGGCAGTTCCCACTATCTCCTGGTATTTTCTGGTGCATTTAGTTGGTTTCTATCACATAAGTACTGTACAGCAACTTTTCACCCTTCCGTCTATTTCAATGCCAGCATCTTGCTGGAATAAAAATGTAGCACAGCTTCTGGAGAAGTGAAATAACTTAGCCAACAACTTTCTGATTTAGCTGCTGACATTTTACTGGGAGTCATGCTCCAATTTAGTCTGTAATAATTGTGAATGCTATTAGATTAATCTTTCTATTGATCATAAAATCCTGGCTATGATCTTCCACGTCAACGCAGTTAAATTTAATTGGAAACATTAACATATAAGATATAAGTTTTTATATTATTTCAGTACTTTTATCTTGTGTATAGGAACCAAAAGATCCCCATATATACCCCATATATAAATGGCAGCAACATTTCTAAATATATTAAATCTTGTGCTATAAATTACAGGTGCAGGCTGTGTCCTTAAGTAGCATGGTTCCCATTTATAACCTTAAATTAGTGCTTGATTTATTTTCACCTTTTTCAGATACTTTGGTTCACACCAGTAGCCAACTGAAAAAAAACAGCATTTTTGATTGTGACAACAGTTTCAATCCCTGGTGTAATATTTAGATTGCTAATGAAGTGGTCTTTATGATTTGGGACTATCTACTGCTCTGGCTGAACACCAACTCCAGCAATAGAAGTACAATAGTTTTTGGGGTATTGTATGAGGTCCATATGAGAAGGAAACATTGCAAGCAGGATCAC